GCGAAGAATCTTTTCTTGATTTTACTCACCAATTCGGTGCTTGCTTGCATTCTAGGATTTAAATTTATCTACGTAAAAAGAAGGAGTGGGGAAAGGAAGTGAAAGAAACAAACTTTTGAACTTTAACGATACGGAAGCCGTTAATGTGCAGATTACCTAGATACTCTGCAAATTATCTAGGTAATTTGAGAAATTGAACAATTTTCGCAGCTTTAACGGATCACCCTAGTTAATCTGCAGATTAGCTAGGTAATGTACACATTAACAATTTCCAAGCTTTAGCGGTAACATATCGATTGATAATGGCAGGCAACACGATCTGCAATCAAGGGAATGTGCCTTCCAGTGGTGTTTAAAGGAAAGTGGCCCCTATTCGGACGTTATCGATGCGAAGAAAACCCGGAAAACGCACTAACCAGCCCGTTGGCCCAGGCACCGACCCGAGACGACTACCACTGTTTAGGGATCGAATCCGCTTAGCCACTAGTGCAGTATGGGTGTTTGATGGAGAAGATAAACAGGGTGGTTCTACGTGGACAATTTTTTGCCGCTATCTCGACCAGGTATTTGATCCCGCATCATTCGTGGCGACAGTCTATATACTGCTCGGTCGTCCGGCCGGCTTTCAATGTATGAGAAAAACAATGAATATAATATAATAGCTCGTATAAACATCGTAATAACTCAGAATATGCATGTAAAGACGGAACTTGTACTTCACTAATAAAAGATAATAGGATCTCTATGTCATTTTAAGGAAAAAATGAGAAATTCTAGTCTTATATAAAATAAAATAAACTGTTAGAGGGGGAAAATAAAATGAAAATAATGTTTCTAAAATTAAAAATTCCTTCTTATAAAATTAAAACATCCAAAGATCTAATATAAGTTTAGAAATTGTCTCAAATAAAGCCATTAAAACGGAGAACATAAAAAAATGAATAATGTATATTTAATGTATAGTTTTCAGTGAATTTTTAAAATAACTTCTAACCCGAAAAGCATCTGCTTTAAGCAGAAGAGGAACATAAGTAACCGAAATGCATATTTAATAAAATAGAAAAGCCAAAAAAAAGATCTCTTGGTGTCCAAGTTAAAACATTTGAAAAGGTATGATAAGTTCTCAAATTAGAAGCTGATATAAAAGCTTAATCATTATTAAATTAAAAAAAAAAGACAAGCTATTATTTATTGTGACGTGGTCACAATGCCAGGCTGCAATTTTTAATCATATTTTTAATTTATTTGATTTAAAATATATGCTCTCCACCTCAAATTAGTAGTGGATTGTCCCTGTACATCATACTTTTCCTTTAACAATAGAGCTGTGCCGGTCATCTATCGCTAACCTTTCGGGGAAAATTTTAGAATTGAAATAACGTGACTCCAAATTTACATTGGAAGTTCTTATATAGTTAAATGGGGCCTCCTACCCCTAGCTTTCCATATCTGGTCTTGAATTTCATTTATCTAACACCATTCTCGAGTTTAAGGAAAGACGGACAGAAGAACGACAGTGGGAATTTATAGGTTAAATTGCAATCCAAATATATTTGAAATTTGTTCTTAAAAGCTCCACCATGTCAAAAATGCGAAGACAATAATAAAAAGTTTATGGTATGGCTTCGAAGTGCCAAGCTTATCTTATTTTGTAAACCAATTTATTACGTTATTCATTAATCAAATCGTTGTTTTTTTCATTTGTATTTAAATATTTTCTTCAAAATGATTAAATTTAAATCATTTTTTTATAATTAACTAATAAAAGTGGAAATTGTTTGGCTGATTAAGATGCATGTTTCTTCATTTACTCGAAAGTTTTTCCGAGATAAATTCATTATATCCATTTTTTTTATTCTCACTATCAATTTTACTACAACTTTTTATAAAGAAATTTTACATAAAAATATTCGGATACCTAATCGTATACAGTGAAAACTGCTTAGGCGACCACCTGCATTCGACGGGCACCTGTCAAAACGGGCAAAAATTTCTGGCACGGAATAGTTTATCCATAGAGTCTTCGTATAAGTTACCTGTATTAAACGACCACCTGTGTAACGCGACCGCGGGCATCGAATTTTGGTCCGAAACAACATACAACACCTGTAATAAGCGACCACTTTCGCGAATGTATCTGGTCTAAACTATTGTAAGAACCCATCTCAACAACGTTTCCACCTCCTAATATAATGAATTAGTCTAAACTCTCGTTCGAACCCATCCCGGGCACTTCTCCCACCCTTGAAATTAGGTGCAGGTGTTAATAAATTAGTCTAGCAACAAAGGAAATTCATTTCAGTTTGTTGGAAAATGTCCGAAATGCAAAGTGCTGTCGTTAGAAGATCGTATTAAAGTTATCACAACAGCAATTAGCGGCGAAGTTTAACTGTGGGAAAACAAAATTTATTTTACCCTAGACCTACAGTATTTTCCTTGGGGGTGTAAAATATTGTACACGATACAATTAATCGGCTGATCTCATCGTTTGATAAAATCTATTTTTATTTATTTATTTTGAAGCTCATATACAGTATACGTGCGATAAATAGTTTCTGTATCAACCTACCTTATTTCCACGATATTTTTAGAAAAATAATATCCAAGTAATTTTCGCAGGCAAAATATTCAAAAAACAATAAACGCATTAATGCAAAAATCAGTTTTACTTCCTTTTTCGATTCCGCGATTGTAATGAAATCGTATAATGAGAAAAAATAATAAAATCGTTTTATTATTAATTAATAATTTTTCTTATTGTACTTAATTAATTAAGAAAATATTAAATATTTAAAAAATACAGTATTTTTAAAGTTAAAATAAGATTAAACTAACGAAAACCAAAAGCAAAGTGATGGAGAGATAGGACGCGCTTGTATATTGATGACGTAATACACGTAACTGAGGAGCGAACGAAAAGAACCGAGTCGAATTAATTAAGTCGGAAAAAAGAAAGTGTGCATTATAATCGAGAAAATGCGAGTATTGTATTAATCTTTAAAATAAAATACAATACCAATAAAGCCCTATCGTTGAAAAAATTCGCTTATTTTTGCTCACCTCGAATTTTGCTTAGTAGAAATGGCTAAAAAGTGCGCAAAATACGTACGGAAATACGGTATTACAGGACCACCTGTATTGGACGACCACCTGTCTAAAAGACCACTTTTTGAAGGAACCGTGGGTGGTCGCCATAGACAGGTTTTACTGTATATGACACACTAAGATTCTATATAAAAGGTGGGAGTCGGAGTTGCACATTTCAAATTTGTCACAGTGGGAGTCGGACTATTTGTTTGACGACTCCTCCATACTGGTTAAATCTACAGAGACTTCGTTTTCGCTAAATAGGAAATGACGTCACGTTTTTAAAATCTCTTTTATAAGTTTCAAAGTGATGAATAACAATACAGTCCCTATAAGACGGTAGATACGTTCCGTTTTTTATGAAATTGATGTTTTAGGAGACCTTGCCAATCACAGCCCGACACGTGTGAAGTTTACGGACTACGGCTGTTTGAAAGGTTTCCTTCCATAAAATTAATCNTATAATACTGTACAGACGATAGTAAACTCAAATTACCCGCCTAAACTCTCCGTAGCGTGGCGCTGGACAGCGGAAAGTAGTTCGGCTGCCCAATGACGTTTTACCGAATTATAGGAGTTTTTTTTACCATGTTTGTACGGATACCGTCGCAATTTTCTCGCCGTCATATAGGAATCCGAACTATAGGAACACGTGTTATAGGGGGGTCGACTGTAGTAATAATAACGTTAATGATGCGGTAAAATAATAAGATAAATTTGTTACACATTAAAAAAACAACTAAAAGTGCGAACCTACATAGCATAGTTTTTATGCCTTACCTATTATCCCCTCGGCTCTATCAATTATGAGCCGAGTGGATAATAGGTTAGGCATAAAAACTATGCAAAGATTTATAAGCTAAATATTCAATTTTCAGAAATCCATTTTTTCAGAAAACTCTTAAGAAGTGGGTCCTATTATTTGAACAAAAAGCTATTTGTGTTTAGGGTAACGTGCTCCCCAAGTAGTAGTTTCGTTCGAATCGGAGAGAACAATGTCTGGCCGTCCGTCTTCTTGTAAGGTCGCAGAGGATAATGTTTGATATCATGCCATATAGACCAAGGATGGAGTATAAAAACGTTGCTGATACTTTGAGTCCGGACTGCAATTTCAGTCTGACGATTAACAAAGTCTAAAACAGATGAGCAACGACAAAGTCGAAAGAGCTTTCTTTGTTAAAGAAAGTTGGAGGTAATGGATGGCCGCCATCGGTTAGACGAAATCTGGCCGTCTTTTTCCATCCATTTACATCTCCACAAAGACTGTCTTTATCAGAAGGCTGTAAACGTGAATTAGTTAAGTCCACGACCACGTTTTAAACTAAAACAACATTTATTTACAACAATCCTCGAGTACACTTGAAAGAGAGCTACACGTGCTCATGGCAGCGATCACCCGACAAGAAGAAGAAGCAACAATACCCAGAATTCTCTCTCTGGGAAAAACCCAGTTCCCGTTTTTCTATCCGGGATTCCCGGGAAACTCGTAGAGGAGTGGCGCCATCTCACCAGTCCGTGATTTGTCGCCGCANCCGGCACCGTTATTCTATTAAGGGCCCGGTAATCCCCGGTGGGACGATAGTCCCCGTTCGGTTTGGGTACTAAGTGCAGTGGGTTGGACCAATTGGAATTACTCGGCCGACAAATGCCTAGTTCTAACATTAACTGGAATTCCTTTTTTGCGATTTCCAGCTGTTTGGGATTGAGACGGCGGGGGCGAGAAAAAACATTATGTCCTTTGGTAATAATACGGTGGACCGTGTTATGTTTGGGTTTGGTGCTAGATGGATATGGCCGAAGGATATCTTTATATTTGTTTAAAATGTCGCTGAATTCCGAATTAGAAGCAATTAAAGTAATGTTAGTTTGCGCGCCGTGGTGAGCAGACCCTGTCGTTGTCAAGGACGTTAATGGGTCTGTAATGCGGGCGTTTTTTAAGTCGATCAGGAGACCGAAGTGTCTTATGAAATCGGCGCCTATTATTGGTTTGCTGACGTTTGCGATTACAAAAGGCCACGTAAATTGGCGTCTTAAGTTTAAGGACACGGTTATGGTTTTTGTGCCGTAAGTCTTTATCGGGGAATTGTTTGCCGAATAAAGTGTCAATGAGGCGGGTGCTCTTAATGCCATGGCGGCGTTATATGGTAGAACGCAAATGTCGCTACCACTGTCGATTAGGTAGTGACGACGTGAGGTTGGATCGTAAACGAATAGGCGGCTGGTGTTGTTAATTTGGAAATCACATTGCGCCACGTGTGATTTCCGAGCTAGTTTCCCTGCTCGGAATTTGCAAGGGGCCTTACATTTATTTGCTTGATCACCGAACTTCGCGTGATACCAACATAGGCCTTTTGCCTGGGGTTGAACAGGTGTCTGCGAACGCCGACGATTCCGAGATCGATTCCGGGGGTGTCTATAATCGCGTGATTGTCTGTCGCTGGGCCTTGCTAGGCGACTAACTTGCTCTGTTAACTCAACGACCTGCGTTTGGAGCTTCATTATAGCCGCGTGTGTATTATTTTCGTTCCTTGCTAAATTAGTTTCGGCTATTTGCAAAGGTGTGAGCTCGAGAATTTTATCAGCCATTTGGGCTAATTCGTCTAAATCCCCATCGGAAACAGAAAGAATTGCCTGAGTTTCTTTGGGTAAACGCTGAATCCATAGCGTTCTTAAAAATTCCTCCCCGACTTTATTACTAGCTAGTTGTCGCATTTTGCGTAAAAGATGAGATGGTTTATCATCTCCTAACACGGCATTAGACAGCAAATCTTTCACTCGTTTTTGTTCGGAATCGGAAAATTCTGCTATGAGTCGATCTTTTAGTGTTTGATATAAATTTTCCCTAGGAGGGTTTTTAACGATATCGCTCACGTACGCTAACACTTCCGAGTTGAGAGCTGAAACCACTGCGTAATACTTAGTAGTATCTTGCGATATATCGGCGAGTTTAAACTGGGCCTCAATATTAATAAACCATAAATCGGCTTCTTTATCCCAAAATTGGGGAAGTTTAAGAGCTACCCGACTGATTTCTGGCTTAAGATCGATTTCGTTTGGCATTTTAAGGCAACCAGGGGATACCTACTCAGCAGAACAGCAAAAAATATGGAACAGAAAACTCCACTTACCCGTGTTAGATGACTTATTCTGGCAAGAGGTTGCAGACACACAAATGTGGGGACAATTTCGCCGGTTAGGAGTGGCGAGCGGTTCACCTATCCAAAGAGCGTCGTCTATCGTAGTCGCGGAATTTATTCCATATTATCCACTGAGGGAACACAATGCAGTATTAGTAAAGGTCTTGTTCTGTCTCTGGTGTTCGAATTCACGTCGAATCACGTTCGGCTCACCACTGGAGGTAATGGATGGCCGCCATCGGTTAGACGAAATCTGGCCGTCTTTTTCCATCCATTTACATCTCCACAAAGACTATCTTTATCAGAAGGCTGTAAACGTGAATTAGTTAAGTCCACGACCACGTTTTAAACTAAAACAACACTTATTTACAACAATCCTCGCGTACACTTGAAAGAGAGCTACACGTGCTCATGGCAGCGATCACCCGACAAGAAGAAGAAGCAACAATACCCAGAATTCTCTCTCTGTTAAAAACCCAGTTCCCGTTTTTCTATCCGGGATTCCCGGGAAACTCGTAGAGGAGTGGCGCCATCTCACCAGTCCGTGATTTGTCGCCGCAAAGTAATACGGAATGGCTAGCCTGGAAACATTCGTGATGTCCCAGAGTGTTAACTTCCTGAAATGTCAGAACATTACACTGCACCCATATTGAGTTTCAGCTTGGTTTTATGTTTGTTAGTGAATTCAGCTAATTTGTACCAGTTTGCGGAATTATCTGTATTTACAACACTACTGATCAGTACTACGCTGTTCTATTTATTCTGTGGAGGCTAGTGTTAACAATCAATCTGCTGCTGCAATAATTTTAGACGATTTACAAAGCTTCGCACAATATCCCAATTTATAGCATACGTGGCATTCCTTATTACAAGCAATAAACGAACCCCGACCGTGTATAGTTCAACATCTCAAACATATGGATTTATGATCATACGCATTCTTTCTACTTAGCATTTGCACATTTTTAGGCTTTTTTGCCTTCATGTTCCTGCTTACGTTTTACAGCTTCGACTTTCAGTGATTCACTCTTTCATAGTGATCAACTGACTGCGAGCTTGTTCCCTTTGTACATTTTAACAACTTTCTCCGACGTTAAGGAACGACATCTTTATTTTCAAGCGCGCCTAAACTCAGCGCCGCTTGACCATACACGAGAGTTACAATCTTTTACTTCAGATGTAGTATGTAATATGCGTATAATTTATGATAGCAGCCATCTTAAATTCTATCTTCAGCCCTTGTGACGCTAGCTCACTAGCGCTTTAGTGACTAACAACAGGAAATAGCTTAACAGGAAATAGCTTTTAACATAGCGAATTTACTAGGAAACTTATTTGTTTGTTTAGGTACGCAATGCAACACTTGGGCGATCTTCCTAGGGGGATATCTTGCAGGAAGTCTTTTAAGGATAACTGGCCTTAATTTAGGCGTTGAAGAGGTGGAGAAAACCCGAAAAACTCCACGTGGCCAGCCCGTCTTGAAAAGGTGCGAACCCATGACCGAACTACCAGTGTTCAGGGAATGGAACCGATTGGCCACTGTTGGACCACTTACTAGAAAAGGCACCCTATATTTTGCATAAATAGAGTGGTAGTACAAATGATGGTTTTCAATAGCAGTGCCGGACGTTGGATAGCCTAGCCATTAAGATAGCAGACCACCGTTCTGGTGATTCTGGATTAAATCAGGACGGGTCAAAAACTCTAGGAATTTTCCGAGAGGAACTTTGTCCAGCTATGTCGGGTCCCGTCCCCATCACCAAGCCTACCCACTATGGGTTTGTTGTTAACAAGCCCATTATGAGTCGAGCCCATAATGGGCTTGCTAACAATAGGTCCTCTTAGTGCCCACATGGCGGAAAGAGTTAGAAAACAGCATCTCAAAATACGAAATATTTGCGATAAAAGCAAAATAAAAGTTATATTAACATTATTAATAATTATTTACATTTTAAATAATTTTTAATAAAGCATCCATGTGAACAGGAAAGAAAAAAATAATAATAATTTTTTAATGAAGGAAAGAACTGGCAACGTCAGACAACTTTTATGCTTGAGGTTTGGTATCATTCAACTAGAATTTGGTGAAATCGTATTTTGCAATATGTTTAGAGTATAAACGTATTAGAGTTGTAATATCGAATTCTACTTTAAAGTAAGATTAGATTTATATTTATTCGTTTTAAAAATATTTATAACCTATATTTTTTGTCATTGCTACGTAATTATACTGTAGAACAGGAGTTATTAGAGAGGTTGAGGCGCACGTTTTAAACGTGTACGTGTGACGTTCGGCGCCGCTTTCCCGTAAGCCTAAAAGTTTGACAATGGTGTTTGGATAGTCGGTGGAATCACGCTCGACAGTCCATACACCATCGTCAAACTTTTAGGCTTACGGAAAAGCGGCGCCGAACGTCACACGTACACGTTTACACGTTTAAAACGTGCGCCTCAACCTCTCTATTAACTTTTGTGTTCGCAATTACTGCAGTCCAAAGAGTATATTTTGATTTATTCCCACCATTTAAATTTTTACTCGTGAACTAAGAGCTTTTCAACTCTACTCGTTAAATTTATTTCAGTTTCCACTATTAAAAAAGTAGCTGTTAGACTACAGTTTCATATTCGTACTCACTCGTGTACTTCCCTCTGAACGTATTCTATTTATTTATTTATTTATTTATATAACAGAGCTGTAGAGCATGCCCACAGGAGTAAAAAAGTTAAAGGAATGTACAAATACCTCTACATGTGATCATTTGTGAGATATATCCCCTACTTCAGACACTACAGGGTGTCATGCTGTATGCTGCAGCTCTGTTAATGTCCCAACCAGTGGCATGCGATGACATTTGATGTTAGGGAAGCTGTGCTGGCCCTGGATGGAATCATTGGAAGTGGAAGTTATCCTGTATTTGACAATATCGCTATATTGTCGAATACAGGATAACTTCCACTTTCAATGATTCCACTTCCAATGCTTCCATTGGGAATATGCATATACGAGTTTATATTTGAATATACAATAGCAATCTTGTAATAAATAGTAATCTTGTAACAAATTTGTAATAAGATATATAGTGCGTTTATAATAAAATATTAATTTTAATTAATTCAAAGTACATTAAAATATGAAAATAATCGTATGATGTGTATTTATATTTTAGAAAATATAAGGGAAGCAGCTTCCATGGACAGCACACCACTGGTCCCAACAGTGTCATCCACATCTGCAATTGTGCCAAAATTTCTGTGGATTTGTAACAATTTTACACTGCTTTCTTAAGAAGTATGGAAAAAAATAAAAAATGCCTTGGTACATTTAAGCTAAACTGCTTATCTTAGGAGAGAGAGCATAAAAAATTAGATTTGAAACATTCACAAAATTCCAATGGTTTGAAAACCATCAATGATTAAGAACACTAAGTCTTTTTTAAGAGAAAGTCTTTAAGTGTTCTTAACTGTTCTTAACTGTTGATTTTCAAACTATTGGAATTTTGTGAATATGTTCAAATGCTATCTGTGAAGAGGAGCTGTTTAGCTTGAATGTATCAAGGCATTTTTTCTGTACTCTGTAAAGAAAGAAGTATGGAATTGTTTATTTACTTATTTTTAACTTTTTTATTCAATGCTTAAATTTGTAATTTTGGAAAATTATATATCACAAATCCTTATATTTGATTTATGGTAATTTTGTACAGTAAAATATTATAAATTTACAATAATTTTTCTGTTCGGAGTCAAAGATCTCAGTGAGAAAGTGAAATATAAACTATCAATTTTAATAACATTGACTAATATTTAAAAAGTGGCCATTAGTTCACAATTTTCTTAATCTTCTGTTGGTGGAACAGGAGTCTTCTGTGTTTTAATAAAATGCAATGATTTCATTAAACATCAAATTTTTTACACTATATTAAATATTTATTGCTGGATAGATAAAGGTGGGATTTATTTGAGTTATTCACATTCCAGTAGATTTTTATTTTAGTATATTTAACTATTTGAATTTTTTATTCTTATTTTTAAGATTCAAATAGTTAATAAAGTCTAAACTAAATATAACTTTAAAGACATTTGTGTTTTGAATTTTTATTTTTACTTTTTTGAACTTCTGTTCTAGAGAAAAGGTTCACAGATCATCCATTTTTTGTAGAAAATATTTATAAAAAGTTATTTTGTTTAACAGATTGCATGATTGTGGAATCTGAATGTTTGAATAAGCCATTGATTCTAAAGTAAACAAATGGTTATGATATTGGAACTATACATAAAATACTAATTATCAGTAAGTTTCATTTTGAAATATTTAATAACTTTTGATATATTTCAATTAATTTATTTCATGATGCAAATATTTCATATAATTATTTATAAACAACTAGATGTTCTTGTTGACATTATCCATACAGTTAAGTAACTAAGAATTAGAGATGCCACGAATATTCGGCTACTATTCGGTATTCGGCCTATCCGGCTACTTTTTTAATATTCGGTATTCGGCCGAATAGCATGCAACATTCGGCAGAATACCGAATACCAAATCATGAAAAAAACCGCACATATTACTCAAAAACGTATTTATTTTAATCATAAATTATTACATTTAATACTTAAAATCTATCAGTGGTAAGTTGTAATGAATGAAAACAATTTTTTTCAGCATTTGTTGATAGCAAACGATTGCTGCTTTTCCTCATAAACTATACCTGCTTCTGAAAATAGCCTCTCACTATATACACTACTGCCGGGAGACGATAGATAAATCTTAGCGAATTCTGTCAGGCTTGGATACTGTTTTGCGTTTGCTGATCACCACTTGTAAAGGTCTGCCGTCCGATCTAGGCGAACAGTTTTCATATAAAGTGATACAGTGATATTTTTTAGTAATAATTAGTAACGCAATTTGATGTAACAATGAACAAATAATGCATGTTGTGACATGATCTACTCGCAAATAAAACAAATGTGCCCGCAGTGTTGCTACCGCACCCACCACAATGTATCAGGTTGTAACATATCACCCGCGAAATGTACACATATTTTGTCGAACATTCAGCCGCCGAATATTCGGCGCTTCGGCCAAGAGCGTAGCCGAATGTTCGGTATTCGGCAAACTCACTATTCGTGGCATCACTACTAAGAATATTATTTACGTATTTATAAATGTCTATACTTAAATAATTTCATATTTAATTTCAGTAAATTTAGAAAATGGAGTTTCAAGCAGTTGTAATGGCAGCTGGTAGAGGATCAAGGATGACAGAAATTACTTCAGGTTGTCCAAAATATCTTCTTCCAGTTGGAAATTTACCTTTAGTATTTTATCCTCTTTATACTTTGAAACAAGCTGGATTTCAGGGTAAGAACATAGATCAAATGACTTTTTTGTATAATTAAATATTGATCAGTAGTTAAATAATTACAAATTCATTAAAAATAGTTATTTGTATAAATGTAATGAATATTTTATTTCTATGTCAGTGTAATATGATAATACTTGTTCATTTTATTTTTCATGATATGCTTATATCTTGCATTAATGTTATTTATCATTCAGGTTTTTCTGTTGCAGTTCAAAAATAAATATCTAACCAAATATATTGTTTTATTCTTTCATTTTTAAGGTCTATTTATAGTGGAGTCTCATTATTCAAATTAATGTAGAGTGCGAATATCATTAATATCAGATAATCAGAATCTCAGATAACATGAAAGATTTCATACAAAGTGATAAACAAAATACAAGAAAATTATCATAAAATTTCTCTGTCTAAAATTCACATTGTCATGAGAGTCACCAGAATAAATTATTTTTAAAACTTTAGAGTTCCTTTCATGTATTATGTATCGCCCACCCAAGATTTGTGAAACAAACTGTATTATGATTCCTATCTTTTGTTGACAAAGTACTCTTCCACAATTTACCTTGGATAATGTAGAATTTTCATTAAATGAATCTCGGATAATCAGGACTCTAGTTTGTTTGATTTTTTAGATATTGGTTACTATAAATTTCCTGCCTATAATCTGCACATAGGTTAACAAAATTGTCTAAGGTATGAATTATACAGTGCTGCATATGTGTGTGACAATTTTTTCACAACAAAAAACATGATATTAAAAATCATTTTATTTTTGTTACACTAAGAAGTCTTGTTAACATGATAAACACATCTGCAGACTCAAAAGACAAATGTGCAGATGAAAAGTAAAATTGCCAATAATAAAATCATTGCCCAATAATAATTGAACAAGATGCCTACCTTTGTTTGTTCTAGATTTTACAATCATTTATTTCTACACAAACTTAATTCCTTCATATTTATGCAATTTTAACTATGTAAAAATTAATGTAATTTAAATATTTACAAATATTATCAGGAAATGAATTACTGTGAATATCATTCAATAATGATAATTCAACTGCAGTAATTATAAATATCATAATTTTGTTTTGGGGAAATGCTTTATAGTTTTCCTATTGTTGTTATCATTGCTGCCAACATATCAATGCAATTATAATTTTATTAAATTTTATTGCATATGATTTCAATTTTTTTTTTATTTATTTACAGAAGCCATTGTTGTTGTACCTGAAATAGTGAAAACAAAAAGTTGGGTTGACATGCTGTCTGGTCGATTAGACATGAAATTGGATATTGTTTCCATTCCTAGTCAAGAAGAGTGGGGGACTGCTGATAGCTTACGTTTTATTAAATCAAAAATTAAAGTAAGAACCTATATTAATTAAATTGTATAATATTTCATTATAAAATTAGCTAACATAAAATAGGTAATAGTTATAAACTTTAGAAAATTTTATAATACATTTGAAAATATTTCATGTCTTTTTCATTATAAAAATTAAATATTTAAAAAAATGCTATTTACTCAGCTCTATTATTTTTATGAAGTATAAGTCAGCAACTTTTTACTTCCTTATCAGAAAATCATATAAGTTGGTGCTTCAGAAAGTTCTTGGAATTGCATATAGGTGGAATTGTTATCTAATGAAACAGATGGCATCAGGTACCAGAGTAATTATTTGTTATGCATGCAACATTTTGGCACCAAAGAGGAAATAGAAACTGCTGTGATAGCCAATGGATGCAGTGAATGTGTATTACAACAAAGAAAACAGAGAAATTTGTGCTATGATAAAATATCTGGTAAAGAAGAGGTTAATTGCCACTTACATCAAAGCCAATCTGGATCAAGTTTTGAAGTTCACCTTGTTATATTCAGCAGTAAGCAAGAGAATGATGCATTTTAAATTTGAAAGTGAGAAAGCTGAGAAAAGTGTGGAAGACAACACTTGCAGTGGAAGACCGACAACCATTATTACCTCAGAAAATGTAGACGAAAATCCATGATATGGTGTTGGCTGACTGCCACTTGAAAATGTGGGAGATTGCTGAGATTGTGAGCAATGTTCCCTCTAATTTTTTTTGTAGATGAGCGGAACATATACTTCTCTGAGCAAAAAATTTTCTGAGCATATATATAAAATCTTATTTTTTCCTATAAAAATTAAAATAATTAATTATAAAGTAGAGATTAAAATTCATTTTAAAACATACTTTTATATAAAATATTATCTTTTGTCAATGATTTAATGTATTTAATCGAAATATACGCAGCAATAATCATGTTGCAGACAGAATGAGAAATAAGTAAACAACAATTCAAATCAGTGTGTGCATGCTCTCCTGCGCAGCACATAAATTCTTGTGCACGGCAACAATTTGAGCAGTGCGAAGCCATGCACCTTAGAAGGAACATTGATTGTGGGCATCTCTGTTGACTGGATGTACAAAATCATAACCCAAGAACTAGGCATGACTAAGGTCTATGCAAGATGGGTGCTGTGTTTGTTCATGGCTGGACAAAAACATATATGAGCAACAACTTCTAAGAAGTGTTTGGACATCTATCAGAAGAATCTACAGGAATTTTTGCATTTGTATGTGACCACAGATGAGACATGGATCCACTGCTACATTTCTGAAACTAAACAATGCAAACAGTGCAAACCTTCTTCACTAACTCTGAAGAAGGCATAAGTAATTCCTTCAGCAGAGTAAATCATGGCTTCCATTTGTTGGGATGCTAAGGGAATTGTTCTTATTGACTACTTGGAAAAGAATAAGTCTATCACTGCAGCTTACTATTGTGACTTGTTAGAGAAATTGAAGACTTCTATTGCAGAGAAAAGACCTCATGTGAAGAAGAAAATCCTTTTTCATCATAATAATGCACCAGCATATTGTGCCCACCTCACTCAGGAAAAACTTCCTGGCCTTCACTTCTAAATCCTTCCCCATCCCTCAAACTCTCCTAATTTTGCTCCTAATGACTTTCACTTCTTTCCAAACCCAAAGAAAATTCTGACAGCAAGAAATTTCAAACAAAGAGGTTATCATTGATGTGAACAGCTATTTTGCAGAATTATACAAATTCTGTTAGAGTGAAGACATTGGAATACTACTGGAATAAGTGTGTTATTTGCAAAGGAGATTATATTGAAAAATAAATAACAATTCAACCAGATTTTGTCTGTTATATACGATTTTGAGAACTTTCTAAGCCACCCATATAATAAATGATTTTATGTATTTATTAGTCTGGTTTTCTTTGAGTTATTAATGATTTTATTATTAGTACTAGCTGTTACCCATGGCTTTGCCTGCACGGATTTTGCAAGCAAACCCTATTTATATTCGGTATTTCAACAACCATAGTAATTGTTATATAACACCTACCACTGAGAATCAAATGAACTATTTTCAATTTGATCAATTTTCTGGAACGTTTACAATCATTCTATAATCAATCCAATATGCAATAACAAATTCAAATTTAAAACAGTTTGAACATTTGGTTAACAAATCGAAATATATAAAAATATTTATAACAATGTCTGAAATGTTATCTATTTGATACAACTAAGTACTCAATGAAGACTAAATGTAATTGAAAACAAAAAATTGCATCACTTCTTACTGTGCATTCTCATGGCATACCCTACTAAAACGTAGTTAAAAACAAAAAATTGCATCTAAAATAGTACAGTAGAAGCTGTTCTTCAGGTTAAGCCTTAATCCTCTCCCCCGCAGGAGAATTTCCAAAAATCCCTTCTTAGTGTGCATTCTCATGGTGTACCCTAACTGTGTACCAAATTTCACCTCTTTAGGTTCAGTGGTTTGCTCTGGGCGATGATGAATCAATCAGTTAATCACTCAGTCAATCACTTAGTTAATCAGTCAAGTAATTTTATATATTTAGATTTGTTGTTTTTTATGCTGAATTGGATGTTACTAGATTTTTTATTTATAAATAGATCAATAAATTTAAATATTATTGCTTAAGTAAATTTCCATTATAATTTAATCCATAGTTATTGACAGAAATGATCCTATATGGATAAAAGATGATCCCTAGGGCCTTGCAAATTTGGTGGTATATTTTATTTAAATCATTAAATTATTATAATTATGCACCAGCACATTCTGCCCACCTCATCTAGGAAAAACTTACTGGCCTTTATTTCCAAATCCTTCTAGAATGTGCTGGTAATTATTGGAAATATAATTGTACCAGTTGCATCTGTAAAATGATCATTTTTAAAATTAAAATTGATTGGATACTACATTCTATCAATAATGTGTCAAGAGAGAGTTTCTTCACTTTGATTTTGTCCATTGAAAGCAATATTGCAACAGAACTAGATTCTGTAATTTTCTGTATTTCTGTAATTTATGAATTCTGTATTTTCTGTAATTTATGAATTCAGCACTGCTAAAAGAAGGAGAGTAATTTTTTAGGTGAATTTATATACTGTACACCTATTGAATTTTCTGATTCATTGTAAAACTATTGTACAGATTTTTATTTATTGTGTTCTACTGTCTGTTTCTATATTAATAATGTTTATATTATTGCAAATTAAATAAATTTAATTTCTGTCTCTATTGCTCTTTTAATGGGCCTCAGAAATAAATTTTGCCTAGGGCCTCACAAATTGTAGGGCTGCCTCTGGTTATTGATAATGAACTAGTACTTGATAAAAACTATACTTAATCAGTAACTTCACATGTATGAGTGTCTTTCTCTTCATAAGTTCATTCATGATGGCCTTTGAAAGATTGAAAATGTTATGGTGACAGCTCCATTTTCTGCTGAAGTTTTAAGGTTAGTGCTGTTTTATTTAAATGCACAGTTTTGAAGATTACATTTGAAATTCACACCAATGTTATCTATGTCCTTTCTCTACTTAGCTACTTAATCATCTTTAATATTGACACATTTGTCTCAACATTTTGGAAATGTTGTATGTAGAAAGTTGTGCTCTCTCTACAGAAGAATTGTCATACAGCATCTATCTTAGATGTGAACATCTTGCTTTGTTTTAAAACATTGACCTTTCAAGTCCTTTTTGTGAAAATCACCCTGTGTAAGATCTGAACTGTACAATGGATGCTGAAGACATTTCCATCTAAGTTTTACAGTTTCTTCTTGTGTGTCTTGGCAGCATGAAGATAGGTGTTGTCATTGAGCAGGAACACACTAGCAGTAAGAAATCCTGAACATCTATCTATATAACCCATTCAATGTGTGTCTGTCCGCATAACGGTATGCCGAAAACGGGCACTAGAGGTGCCCTAGCAATGATTTTAAATTAACAATAAATTATTTTTATTTGTAATAGGAATTTATTATTGATATGAATTTATTATTTATACCATGGAAGGTATAAATAATTATTATATGCCTCAATTAACCTTGCGCTACACGTTTACAACATCCCGTGACTTTTAGTGAATGTCGCACATTGACTCACGGGAAATTTGTTGAAAAAATGGCAGATACATTTAAAATCAAGCAAAGGTAAGTAAACAAATTAAACTATTTTAAAGTATTTATAGAATGTTTAATAGGTAGGAATCTAGATTTGTATGATGCGATTGGGACTTTAACAGAGCTGTAGAGCATATTGATAGGAATAAAAAAGTCAAAGGAACTGTGCCTCATGGGAATTTGTAAAGAATGCCCACTAGGGGGCGTTCTAGGCTACTAGTTTGTAATAAATTGCTGCTTGAAGTTGTTGCAATGTTTCACAATAATAGGTAGCATTAAGTGTTTATCCTAGTTTCATGAACTCACTAAAAAGAATGCTCTTACATCCCAGAAGACAGAGACCATTACTTTTCCAGCAGACTTCTCAAGCTTAAACTTCTTTCTTACCAGAGAAGATAGGTGTGTACATTCCATTGATATGCATTTGAATTTTGGAATGAAATGATGGATCCACCTCTCTTACCCTATGATTGTGTGCAAAAGGAAAGCATCATTGGCCTTCTGATAACAGAGCATGTGATTCAAGCTATATTCTGTTTGATGTGAGCAGTGACATCAGAAGTGAGTTGATATAGAACCCAACATGATAAAACTGTACATTAGTGCAAGATATTTCTCATGCATGCCTGCATGGGCAGAATCAGTTGAGATATCCATGATACAGACAACACTTCTCACAGTTGATCCTCACAAATTAGTGTGTTGATTTTTCCATTATTTCAGGTGTGGGGTGCCTCTGACTTTCTTTCATTCATCATGCCATCTTGTCTTTCTGCAAGTAAACAACACCATTTATGTACCATTTGCACTGGCATAACATTGTCTGTATACACTTATATAAGCTTCAAGTGGATTTTAGTTGGAATAAAAAAAAAACAGATCATATTTTGAGGTTCAAGACTGAATCCAAACCTGTTAGTAATTGTACAAAAATGTTAAAAGAGAAAAAAAAGGAAATTGTAATGAAAATAAACACGATGCGAAAGTAAACAAGTGAGTTCCAAGTGTGACTCCAACATATGTCAAGCCAGAGTTTGAACTTTGATACTGATGCTCATATATAAAAGGTTAAAGTTAAACTGAATCAGGAAATGAGCAGGTTTGACAAATCTCAGGGTCAGAGTCGAGGGATGGTATCAAGTTGACCATCTAAGATAGACCTTTCTTGTGACCCAAACCAATCTTATTTTCATCTGGAAACGGGAATAGACCAATTGGGAAATGACAAGAGGGAGCCAGAACTGATCGGAGAAGGAAAATTGATGACAACATCTTATAAAAACTTTGGATTTTGAGGTCAAAACACAGATTCTTTACAATTTGTGCTGTTAGAAAGGACCCATGTTTTTCTCTTTGATGGTACCATCGCTATCACCCAAGTCCAACCATTGCCTCATCCACTCCATCCAGTATCTCTGTGTCTTCATTTCCAACCTGCTGAATTCACCTCACCACTGCCTTGGGGCTACCATCGAATATACATTCAGGACACACTGTCACTAACAAGCTCATCAAACTTTCTTTCCAACAATTTTCAATCACAGAAATAATATTGTTTATAACCTATGTAAGCCAAATATTTTACTTTATTTTAAATAAATGAGATTTTTGTAAAGGTGCCTATCATCAGTGTCTCCTACATCACCACCCACATACAACTTACATCCTTGTTTATCCTGACGTGAGTTTAAAGAACTCTCCCCCTCTGTCAGCAAGCTCACAATATCAGATGACTGTTCACATTTTTTGCTTCAGAAATGTTTCCAGCAATACACAATTGCCATTTCTTCGGAACAGAATTTGAGCGGACACACTACACCATTAGGCACTCTGTTTTTGCTACCTTTGAACATTTGGATACATTACAGCAAAAGAAATGATCCATATTATGTACAGGGGAAATTAATTTACTATATATTATGAAATTATATATCAAAAATATTGTCTGTAGAATTTACAAACATGAGAAACTTGAAATTTGAACCACTCCCCACATAGTTACAAATTTAATAATAATGATTACTTTTAATCAGTTTTTTTATCAATAGATAAATCTTACAAATGTAAATTTATTACTATTATTATTATTATGCTGTTATAAAATATTTATCATTTTAAAACTTTAATTTTTTTAGACTGACATTATAGTGATTACATGTGATTTAGTGACTGATTTTCCTCTGTGTGAACTGGCAGATATTTTCAGAGCACATGATGCTAGTCTAGCAATTTTGCTTTCAGATGTTCCATCTTTAAAAGATGCATCCATACCTGGATATAAAGGGAAACATCGTGAAGGTAAAGTAAAAGTAAATGTAAAATATATGATAATAATTTAATTTATATATTTTGCTTGTAGAGAAAGATATTATTGGTATAAACAATTGCAATGGAAAACTTGTATTATTAAACTCTGAAGCTGATTTTGAAGAAGAAATACCAATGAAAGTATCATTATTGAAAAGGTAATATTGAAGTTACTTTAAATTTATTTTATATTATTATTTAATTATCTTTGTTTTCATTATATATGTCCAGAATTTTAAAGATTTTTATTTCTTATTTAAATCAGATTTCTAAATTATTAAAACATAGAAATTTCTGTTTTAATGATTTAATTGATTATTATTACAATATTTTAACAATAAATCATTCAGGAATCCTATAATACACATGTACAGCAATTTAATGGATGGCCATGTATATATAATGAAAAAGTGGATTGTTGATTACTTGAGCAATAATGAGTAAGTATATAAAACTAATAATAATGATAATGTTCAAATTATTACTCTTATTACTAATTTTAGATGTAATTTCTATTTGTAGAAGCATATCTACCTTAAAAGGTGAACTGCTTCCATTACTTGTGAAGAAACAAAAGAAAATAAAATCAAATAAAGAATCTAATATACAGAATATGACATCTTCAGTTACTTCTTTTAATGTTGAGAAAGGTTTGTTTTGAGAAATTGAGTTTTTTAATTTTTTCATTATCTCATTAAATCTTTACTTTATAGATATTTACAGTTATGTAAAGGAAGATAGAATAAAAGATCTTATTTCTAAATTATCTGATAAGTGTGATATGGAAGACAAAACCCAAATTTCCTGTTACGCTCATATTGCAAAAAGCAGTTTATTTATGAGAGTTAATACATTAGCTGCTTATGCCGAAATAAATCGACAGGTGAGATTTTTAAAGATTAATATTTGAGAAAACTGTAAAATCAAATCATTGTATTTTCATCCTCAGATTTCTAGACATTTATCATCTATATCAAACAAGTTAAATTTATCAAAATCACTGATGACAACAGCTCATCAATATAAATCAAATGTGAGTGTATAATTTTGTGATTATAATTTTTTTTTTAAATACTTAAATAATTGTGATTATAGATTAGTAATGATTGTATCATTGGTGACCATACAATTGTTGCTGAGAAAGCTTCAATAAAGAAATCAGTTGTGGGACCAAACTGTCAGTTAAAAGAAAAAGTCAAAATTATCAATTCTGTTATAATGGATCATGTAACTATCGAAGAGGGGTATGCTTAAACTTTTTCCTTTTTTGCTTTATGTTTTTTAAATGTTTTCCATTGTACATAATTTATATTTAACATATTTTAATTTTTAGATCACATATTCAAGGAAGTATTATATGTAGTAATACTCATTTAGGAAAACAATGTGAAATAAAAGATTCGATTATTGGTCGAGGACAAAATGTGGCTGATTCTTGTAAGTATTACTGTTCGAGGGTGTTTAACTTGATAAAGATATTTCCTTGGCTTCTCAATATTTTATACTTGCTTGAAATAACATAGTTATGCTGGTTTATAAATGTGACAGAATTAAAACAGTAATAAATATTGATGTTTGGCCCAATAAATTATTTTATGTAGTGACTACTTAAAGATAAATAATTTAATGTATCATCAATACTCAATATTATCTTAATTTTGTTATAATATGATCTGTCTTATGTGCTCTATGCTTCTGATTTTAGCAATATTTGCTAAAATCAGAAGCATTTAATATATAATAATAACAATAATAACAAATATTTGCATTTTAATTCTAAAAATGCATATGTATGTAATTACTCATAGATATTTTTGAATATTTGTTTCTATAACTGCATGAATGCAGTTATAAAAACAAATCATTGTTTGGACAATAAATATTTTATTTAGTAGTGGAAGTAAACAAAACGTTTTTAATTGCAGAATAATTTTATTTTTCATTCTTCTACTTAAAAGCAGATTTTGAAAATACAATAGTCATAATTGCTAAATTTCATTGTTGTGAATTTTCTCAAAAAATTTGTTATTTAAATTGTTTATATGTTATTCAAATTGTTTATTATTATTTTATAATATCAAGGAACCTTAGCCCGTATTTATTTTTATTTGTAGGTAAACTTTCACATCAAGTTTTGCAAGACGTTGACCGTTTATTAGAGATATAACATACTCATAATATTAAATTAATGTATTATAATAACTAATAAATTGTTTGATACAAAAAATATGCAAATGTGTTTCAATTCTTTTTATTATTTAATTTAGTATTTAATTCTCAGATTAGTGTACTTTTTTGTTGACTAGCCAGATGACAGTGGCATAACTACTATTAAGCTTGGTTGAAAGCCAGACCAGATCCTGGGTTTTATTTCTTTGCAATAGTAAAAATATGAGAAGTTTTTAATTATATAAGAAAAAATTAATATTTTCTTTCTTGTTTAAAATTAATTGTTCTTACTAGGAACAATTAATTTTAAATAAACATGCTATTTATTTCAGACAGTGTTTTAAGTTCTTTTTTCCAATTACACTTATTTTGCAACAGTGCAAAAATGACAACACTGTACATCATGTTATGTAAATAATAACAACAAATTTATGAACAACTATTTCTTTTTGTGAGACAATTTTTTTGTTTTTTATCATATATGCTGCACTTTGCAGTTTTGAAAAAATCAAGATCTAATTGTAGTTGGCCAATACAGATAGTGTCCAATGATATCACTTGAGCAAATATTTTTAAAACAAAAATAATAAATTTGAAATTTTAATTTGGTGGACATAGAGTAACAAACAAATAATTTATATCCTAATTATTTAACCAATTTACTGGCTGTATGCAATTCTGTGATTATTTTTGTAATTCCTTTGATTTTGTAATTTTTTACTTGTTTTTTACTTTTTTTGTTTCAATTAGTAATTTTTATTTTTGACAAGACTATGAATTGCTTATAAAATCATACTGCCATTTTATGTTACCAGCATAGAGATATGAAGGAGTGCATGTCGAGAGTTGATATTTGGCACAGAGTATTAGATGCCATTTTTATGCCAAATCATTTGTGCATAAAAAATCCAAACTTGTAGATAGTCAGGGGACTGAGAACAGAGTCAAAATAAAATACAAAATGGTGACCCTCTCTACAAACAGTCAAAACAGGCACCTCACCCCACCAAAGTCAGGTGGGAGAGTACCATCCACAGTCATTGTAAGAAGTGAACCCTGACCTTAGGACTGAACACACAGAAGAAACTATGTTAAATAAAATTTGTAATCTAATTTTGCAAATTTGGGAGTACTTCAAATATGACATTAAAACAGGGTGTCGTTACAAGTAGGTTTTTTAACATTATCTAGTATAGTAAAATTGTGTGACTGATAAAAATTTGACGTTATATTAGGGTTGTCGTTGACATTATAATTGGGTTAAACTGTATATTGTTAGTGCAAAATAAAAAAATAATTTCAGACGATACAATAGCACGATTATTTTTTCAAAAACTGGAAATTTTCGTTACACATCGACAAAAATTCAACCTAGGCCAACACACAATGGAGAGAAATTTCAAAATTGGATAGGTTAATTTCATTGAAAATGCATCGTGGACGACCTTGTGATTGTGGCCAGTGAAGTTTGAACGATTGTGCCCAAAAGCAGCAATACCAAAGAAGATTGTAGAATGAGACCCACATTCAGCGTCAAAGTGATTCTGCTTAGTAGTGAGTCTCCGAGACATAGTCTTGTCCCAAATACAGTTTTGCCATTTACTTGTTATAAATATTTTTGTAGATTACTTTTGGAATTTTTTATCCTTTTTCATTTAATATTTTAATTTGCAACAGAATAACAAATTTAACATTTGTTGCTGTTCTATTAATTCACACTTTGTTAGAAAAAAACTATAGATAAACAGAACCAAGACCAATTATAAAGTTGGAAGAGAGGTATCAGCAATGATTTATGCAAACAGTATTTTTCAGCAACATAAAGATTTATTNATTATTACAATATTTTAACAATAAATCATTCAGGAATCCTATAATACACATGTACAGCAATTTAATGGATGGCCATGTATATATAATGAAAAAGTGGATTGTTGATTACTTGAGCAATAATGAGTAAGTATATAAAACTAATAATAATGATAATGTTCAAATTATTACTCTTATTACTAATTTTAGATGTAATTTCTATTTGTAGAAGCATATCTACCTTAAAAGGTGAACTGCTTCCATTACTTGTGAAGAAACAAAAGAAAATAAAATCAAATAAAGAATCTAATATACAGAATATGACATCTTCAGTTACTTCTTTTAATGTTGAGAAAGGTTTGTTTTGAGAAATTGAGTTTTTTAATTTTTTCATTATCTCATTAAATCTTTACTTTATAGATATTTACAGTTATGTAAAGGAAGATAGAATAAAAGATCTTATTTCTAAATTATCTGATAAGTGTGATATGGAAGACAAAACCCAAATTTCCTGTTACGCTCATATTGCAAAAAGCAGTTTATTTATGAGAGTTAATACATTAGCTGCTTATGCCGAAATAAATCGACAGGTGAGATTTTTAAAGATTAATATTTGAGAAAACTGTAAAATCAAATCATTGTATTTTCATCCTCAGATTTCTAGACATTTATCATCTATATCAAACAAGTTAAATTTATCAAAATCACTGATGACAACAGCTCATCAATATAAATCAAATGTGAGTGTATAATTTTGTGATTATAATTTTTTTTTTAAATACTTAAATAATTGTGATTATAGATTAGTAATGATTGTATCATTGGTGACCATACAATTGTTGCTGAGAAAGCTTCAATAAAGAAATCAGTTGTGGGACCAAACTGTCAGTTAAAAGAAAAAGTCAAAATTATCAATTCTGTTATAATGGATCATGTAACTATCGAAGAGGGGTATGCTTAAACTTTTTCCTTTTTTGCTTTTTGTTTTTTAAATGTTTTCCATTGTACATAATTTATATTTAACATATTTTAATTTTTAGATCACATATTCAAGGAAGTATTATATGTAGTAATACTCATTTAGGAAAACAATGTGAAATAAAAGATTCGATTATTGGTCGAGGACAAAATGTGGCTGATTCTTGTAAGTATTACTGTTCGAGGGTGTTTAACTTGATAAAGATATTTCCTTGGCTTCTCAATATTTTATACTTGCTTGAAATAACATAGTTATGCTGGTTTATAAATGTGACAGAATTAAAACAGTAATAAATATTGATGTTTGGCCCAATAAATTATTTCATGTAGTGACTACTTAAAGATAAATAATTTAATGTATCATCAATACTCAATATTATCTTAATTTTGTTATAATATGATCTGTCTTATGTGCTCTATGCTTCTGATTTTAGCAATATTTGCTAAAATCAGAAGCATTTAATATATAATAATAACAATAATAACAAATATTTGCATTTTAATTCTAAAAATGCATATGTATGTAATTACTCATAGATATTTTTGAATATTTGTTTCTATAACTGCATGAATGCAGTTATAAAAACAAATCATTGTTTGGACAATAAATATTTTATTTAGTAGTGGAAGTAAACAAAACGTTTTTAATTGCAGAATAATTTTATTTTTCATTCTTCTACTTAAAAGCAGATTTTGAAAATACAATAGTCATAATTGCTAAATTTCATTGTTGTGAATTTTCTCAAAAAATTTGTTATTTAAATTGTTTATATGTTATTCAAATTGTTTATTATTATTTTATAATATCAAGGAACCTTAGCCCGTATTTATTTTTATTTGTAGGTAAACTTTCACATCAAGTTTTGCAAGACGTTGACCGTTTATTAGAGATATAACATACTCATAATATTAAATTAATGTATTATAATAACTAATAAATTGTTTGATACAAAAAATATGCAAATGTGTTTCAATTCTTTTTATTATTTAATTTAGTATTTAATTCTCAGATTAGTGTACTTTTTTGTTGACTAGCCAGATGACAGTGGCATAACTACTATTAAGCTTGGTTGAAAGCCAGACCAGATCCTGGGTTTTATTTCTTTGCAATAGTAAAAATATGAGAAGTTTTTAATTATATAAGAAAAAATTAATATTTTCTTTCTTGTTTAAAATTAATTGTTCTTACTAGGAACAATTAATTTTAAATAAACATGCTATTTATTTCAGACAGTGTTTTAAGTTCTTTTTTCCAATTACACTTATTTTGCAACAGTGCAAAAATGACAACACTGTACATCATGTTATGTAAATAATAACAACAAATTTATGAACAACTATTTCTTTTTGTGAGACAATTTTTTTGTTTTTTATCATATATGCTGCACTTTGCAGTTTTGAAAAAATCAAGATCTAATTGTAGTTGGCCAATACAGATAGTGTCCAATGATATCACTTGAGCAAATATTTTTAAAACAAAAATAATAAATTTGAAATTTTAATTTGGTGGACATAGAGTAACAAACAAATAATTTATATCCTAATTATTTAACCAATTTACTGGCTGTATGCAATTCTGTGATTATTTTTGTAATTCCTTTGATTTTGTAATTTTTTACTTGTTTTTTACTTTTTTTGTTTCAATTAGTAATTTTTATTTTTGACAAGACTATGAATTGCTTATAAAATCATACTGCCATTTTATGTTACCAGCATAGAGATATGAAGGAGTGCATGTCGAGAGTTGATATTTGGCACAGAGTATTAGATGCCATTTTTATGCCAAATCATTTGTGCATAAAAAATCCAAACTTGTAGATAGTCAGGGGACTGAGAACAGAGTCAAAATAAAATACAAAATGGTGACCCTCTCTACAAACAGTCAAAACAGGCACCTCACCCCACCAAAGTCAGGTGGGAGAGTACCATCCACAGTCATTGTAAGAAGTGAACCCTGACCTTAGGACTGAACACACAGAAGAAACTATGTTAAATAAAATTTGTAATCTAATTTTGCAAATTTGGGAGTACTTCAAATATGACATTAAAACAGGGTGTCGTTACAAGTAGGTTTTTTAACATTATCTAGTATAGTAAAATTGTGTGACTGATAAAAATTTGACGTTATATTAGGGTTGTCGTTGACATTATAATTGGGTTAAACTGTATATTGTTAGTGCAAAATAAAAAAATAATTTCAGACGATACAATAGCACGATTATTTTTTCAAAAACTGGAAATTTTCGTTACACATCGACAAAAATTCAACCTAGGCCAACACACAATGGAGAGAAATTTCAAAATTGGATAGGTTAATTTCATTGAAAATGCATCGTGGACGACCTTGTGATTGTGGCCAGTGAAGTTTGAACGATTGTGCCCAAAAGCAGCAATACCAAAGAAGATTGTAGAATGAGACCCACATTCAGCGTCAAAGTGATTCTGCTTAGTAGTGAGTCTCCGAGACATAGTCTTGTCCCAAATACAGTTTTGCCATTTACTTGTTATAAATATTTTTGTAGATTACTTTTGGAATTTTTTATATATTTTTTTTTTTGTTTGTTATGAAATTTCTTTACAAAAAAAATTTTTTAATATACACTACATATATTTTCTAATAATTTAAAATATTGTTTAAATTTGTACACCATCATGAATATAGAAGGACTTAATCCAATGTTTTTCAACCTTTTTCTAATAGTGGCACCCACTCTTTACTTTTTTTTTTTTTTAACTCTTTCCACCCTGTGGGCACTAACCTCTTTTTTTGCAAGCCCATTATGGGTTCAGCCAGGCCCACAATGGGACTGCCAGGTAGTGAGGGATGGGGCCCCGACATATCCGAATGGACCACCCCCCTGAAAAATTCCTGGGTATTTTTCAACCCGTTCAGATTTGAACCCGGATCCCCCAGAGCGATAGGCTGCCACCTTGACTGCTCGGCCACCCAGCCGCTACCCACCCTTTACCAATACAGAATTATTGTAATTTTCATATGTTTAAGAAATTTTATGGCATTGCCCAGTACTATATTTTGCAGCACTAGTGTGCTGCAGCAACCCATTGCCGTAAGCATTGTATGGCTTTTTACCATATTTTGCTTAACGGACTTACATGTCTAGTTTTGCTGCTGTTAGACAACCAACCAACAACATACACTACTTTGAGATTTTAAATTCAAGTCTTTCATAGTCAAAAGAATAAATGTAACCATTAAGGCTGGTGAATACTGGGCTCTGTAATATATAATACTATAAATGCTCTGCAAACAATTTAGTATGCTATAAACTATATGCAGTTTGCAGAGCTTCATTTGTTTAATGCTGCACCCTGTTCACTATACAGTTAGCATTATAACGTTGCATGTTACATGTTACAGTGGCTAGTTGTGCCAGCCTTTGATTGTCTTGGTGATTGATGCTACCTGAAGCAAATCCAGTTTATATATTTATTATCAAAGTTAGCATATGGATAATTAATTTTACTAAAAGTTCTTAAAGCTTTATTGAGAATTTGTTATCTTTTCCCTTCTAAATGAGTGACTAAATATTACATTCCAACATTTGTCTTTTTCTTTTAATGATGTTTGATGGAATAAGGCAACATGACATAAGATCGAGCTGCTCCCAGGAAGAGTTTTATGGGAAATTGGCTGCTATTTAGATGTTAGACACAAGAAGAAAACCCAGAAAACACTACATAATCAGTTTCTTGATCAGGTGCAAAATGGGGACAAATATCTCATAAAATATGCATCCATTTAAAACATTGATCAAAATAAAAATTATTTATTTTTATGGACCTTTTAAAATTAAGCCACCCAGTCCTGTTATAGGGGTTGAAGGGTAACTTCAGATTTTAAATGAAACCCCTTTTTTCTAACTTTGGAAAAAAACAATTTTTCCAAAAATGTTCATTTCTAAAGATATGAGTGTTTTTAGTCATAGCAATTAAAAGTAACAATTAAAGAAATACTTTTATTGTAGACTAAATAAAAACAGTTTCTCTACTAAAAAAAAATATTTTTTGAAAATACAGGGTGGGGCAGAAAGGACAATGTTTTTTAAAAAATCACATCATCTGTAATTGTTACTACAAAAGTTGTTTGTTGGAAGATGTGAGTTTGTATTGAAATAGCATTTTATAGAATCAAGTATGGAAAACATCTCCCATGTGGTGTCTGTTATCATAATGCATTTCTGGAGGCAATTTTGGCCATTTCCATGTGAATAGCTTCCCTCAGTTCTTGCAAAGAACGGGCTTATGCTCATGTACACATGCCTTGAGGTGTCCCCACAAGAAATAATTGCACATAGATAGGTTGGGTGAATGAGGAGGCCAATAAATGTCACCAAACCAGGGAAGAGACCAGAGCCGGCCCTATCATAGGGCAAATGGAGCAGCCACTCCAGGCGCTAAGTCCTAGGGATGCCTCAGTGGTAAAGAAATTTAAAGGAAAAAATATTTTTTTCATTTTTCAATATTTTAATTGCAAGCGTGTGGTCAGTATGTGAATGGCCTTATCTGTTGAGACGCGCATGGGTCGAGTGCGTGGGCGGGGTTCCACCCCGGGTGCTATAATATGATCTTGCTCCATTCTAAAACTTGCCTTGGGCTGGCACTGGGTGTGACTATGAAGATGCGAATTTAGTAGTGAGAGGGAGGTTGCAAGTAATATGGTCCTCGTAAAGGAAAGCCATGCACAAGCAAGAAGTGAGAAATATCACTAACAAGTTTCTGAGAGTGAGTTTCTGGTTCTTGCACATATCTGACAAGGTTTGATGTTTATCGCGTCTCACCTCGTGTGTGTCTGCATAGTTGCACCCTAACATCAATTGATGCTCTAGCTGCATGGGCTGTCGCTCCATACTGTGTTGAAACAACACGTCTGATGGAAATACATTCCTATCATACGCAAGTATGTGGAAATGTATTCCTATCAGACATGTACAACTGAGTAATCCCATTTGCATACAACTGTTTCCTCAGCCATATGCAAACACAGTGTTCTATTGTCCATGGCTCTATGCCTTCAACTGAAAAGACAATGCTAAGACTTCACTACTTTCACACTACCTGCCACACATTTGTCACTCCACTTGGTGGTGAGTTGTAGTCATTTCAAAAACATCCATCCTTTCTGCCCCATCCTGTATAATTTGAAATTCTAAAATTGTTCCTGCCTCCTTATAGAAGGCTTATGAAATTAAAAAAGCCCCTCAAAAATTAACTTTTATTCTGATCAATTGATGCATATTTTATGAGATATACAGGGTGGTCCATTTAATGTTCCTGACATATCTTGTCATAAACTATTCTATTTTTTTTATCATTTCTATTTATCAATATCTGTTAATTTTCATATTACTAGAGAGTGTCAATTGTCTGTGTGTAAAGTTGCACAACAAGTAGTAGCAATACATGCCTATTGCTCATTACAGTACTATTTTTGCATAAAACTTGCAACATTGTTTATGTGAAGGCTGGGAATGTATTGAAACAAATACTGTTAATTATTTTAAAAATTAAACTTGAATCTCTATGATAGTTGTGTATCTATGTTAGGAATACACAATAGAAAACTCAATGTGTACAGCTTTGAAGTTATGCATAAACATCAATTGTTTTGGTATCCATCTGGCACAGAACTTGTGATAATCCAATCTCCAATATAAAACAGGGCATTCCTTGAAATTTGGGGAAATTTATCATAAAACAGGTGTGAGAGGCGAATTGCCCCTGTGATTAATTAACAATTTAATTAAAAAGTAAAATTTTAAACGAAAAATATTCTTTGATTTTGGTGGGAAAATTATATTTTCTAAAACAAAGGAAACTGGAAAAACTCACTTCCTTCAACAGAAGTTGAAACATCCTTTTGTTTTCCCTTATCTACTAAAAATTTTAGTCACCCTGGGAAATGTCAACCCCTCGATAAATCCCCTTTTCC